ATTCTGATTTTTTTTAATGCAATATATTTTCCGGATCAAATAAATATATTTCTAACACGATTTTTTATCATTGGACAAAAACACCAAGGTAGAATAAATAATATTTGAGGAATTGAAAATATACTCAAAAATGTCTTTTTTAATTCCAAACATGTTGGCATGAAGAATAAGAAATTAAGTACTACTTTTCACCTCATGGAATAAAGGATAAGACAAATTCATTTACCATTCAACAACTTCGAGCACGGGTGTCAATAGTGCACTATCTTTAAAAAAAGAATATAATAGTTTTTTATGTTCTCGAATAAGTTTGGATAAGTGAAGTTCACTATATTCTTGAGGAATAACTTGTGTTAAGAATCAAGATCTTTAACTATTAGAGCACCAACTTCATGTATTGTGGAGATATTATAATTTCTTGAGTCTCTTGTTTTACTTGTCAACAACATCAATGATACATTAGAAGTAGGCTCATTATATATGAAAGATTACTTCTCAACCGCCTCAATGATACATTAGAAGTAGGCTCATTATCCATGAAGTCTTTAGTTCTTCTAAATATCTGTGTTAAAACATTATGCTCATCTACTATATTTTTCAAATATTTGACCAAACTTTTATCAGTAATCAAAGAATTATTCTCCCTACTGTGCGAAACAAATAGAACAATTTGTTTTTATTAGCATGTTAATAATGTTCCATGTGTATTATATTGTCAAACACATGTAAATAATATTTTTATTAAAAGGGTGTACTCAATAAAGTATTCGAAATACCTAAAATGAGTTATTTGTTTTCATATCTCGTTCTGTATGCCATAAATATACAATTGTGTAAACTTTGGTCTTTCACCATATTGTGACATTAAACATGGTATGTGATGATGAATGTGTCCGCTGAAAGTACATTATTGCTCAACCATTATTGTGAGATATATCAATATTTTCATTTATAAATGTTAATGAAAACATACAGTTGTATTTTTTTAAATTTTTCATGGTAATGAGAACTCTTCACACCAAAACCATAAAATAAATTATAGAGCAAATCAGATGGTTTTCTTTAGAAGACACAATTAAACTTTTACTTTTATGCAATAAATTGAAAACTTTAGATGTTTTGAATCTTTATTCATTTGATTCTTTCTTCATAGTTCATGTCATAACAAAGTTTTCCAAAATTCACACATAAATGCAAGATTCCAAAATAGATTGTCTCTAAAGGAAAAATAAAATATGATGTAGGCAGTCTTTTATATATATTTTGTTACATTGTTTATAATATTTTATACAAAAAGACAATAGTTGTATTATCATATTCAAAGAAATTAGTAGAATGGGTTTAAACATAGATCAATTCTCTTCTGTTTCTTATGCACTAAGCGCGATGAAGCGTGTGTATAATTGTTTCGTAGTTGGAAAATTATAGATGATTTTTTGGGAAATATGTATTGGAACGTGTTTGCAAAGTACATTCTTTCTCGAACGTGTTCGATGATGCGAGTTTATAGCCGATGATGATCCATCTCCTTCTGTATTTGTAATAAGCATCATAAAATAAATATTATAATTTTTTATCTAAAAACTTTAAATATTTTTTTTATTATCCACTAATATTTGTTACATTGATGT